CTTGTTTTTACTTATCTTAGGAATTATTCCAGGTTAGCACATGTAGACCTCCCATATTTGTTTTTAATAACTACAGGAATGTTTGTTAAACATAGTTTAGATGGCCCATCATTTACTAGCCTTTTATTGCTGGACGTTTTGTTTGTACAATCTTTTGCTGTTCCAACAATAATTAAATGTTATCCTTGAACATAAATCTTTTGGTACATGTGCTAATTTATCTGTATTATCAGTTTGCAGAAATAAAATCACTAGGCCAAATGGTATATACTTTTGAAGATTAAAAATATTTAAATGTAGATATTGGCATATTGCCCTCCCATAGAGGATTTCTTCCTGGCAGTGCATAAGAATGCATCATCCAAACCCTTTCTTCTCCCCCCATCTCCAGCTTGGCCATATCAGAGTCTGTCTTTCGTAGGAGAAAAAGTTCTGGTCTGGGATGAGTATGAATATTTTTAAAACTCACCCCATGGGTATTAGCAGTGTTTCAGTTGCAAGTCACAGAAAATCTGCCTCAAACCAACTTAAACCAAAAAAAAAAAAAAAAAAAAAAAAAGAAGATGGAGAAGTTGATGGGCACATACAACAGAAGTCCAGAAACAAAATGTGCTTCAGGCATAGCTGGATCTAGGGAGGGCTAGCGTGTCATGGCACAGCTTCAGAGGCCCATTCACACTGCATTAGAAAACAGTGTGAAACTGCCACGTGTGTACCTGTGCAAAATCTTGCATGTTCTTCACATGTACCCCAAAACCTAAAATGCAATAAAATAAATAAATGGGAAAAAAAAAAAAGAAAACAGTGTGAAAGGTGGTCCCTAGAGTTAGTAGCCATACATTCAGGGACGCAACTGAGCTTATAGGGACTTGGTCTCTCTCCATTTCCTAGCCCTGTTTCCTTGGGGTTTGCTTTGTTCTCAGGCAGGCTTTCTCCATGTGGGAGCTCTAGGTTTACATTCTATGAACTTTATAACTTCAATCTTAGAGCCTCCCCCTCTCTATAGATACAGCCAGTTGCAACCTCTCGGGCCGCCCATGTGCTCAGGGACTGTTCTCCAACTCCACACAGGGACTTGGAAAAAAAAGATCACAGCATAGGGATCACAGTTTTTCTTCATTGATCTGACTTTGGTGAGATGCTCATCCCAAATAATTGATCACTTCTTGGAACGCCTTTTGGTTTGCTTGCCTTTCATCCATTTCCTGTTCTTCTGATAGTAGCCCTTGATTTTCTTCCTCAACTCTCAGTCCCCATGGTTCTAAGGCCCTTCCTTCATCCAGAGTTGATGATGTGACCCTAGGCATGGCCAGTCAGCACCCATCCTACCAACGGCCAAAGCGACTCCAATTCTCAGACACCATCTCCTTGACCACTAACCCATCTGTAGGCTAGATGAGTGTGTCAGAGACTCAGCAGAGTTACAGCTATAGAAGATGGGAGATGGATGTTCATACAAATCACCTGGTGATCTAATTTATTAGATCTGAGTTGGGGCTGATTCTGCATTTTTAACAGGCTCTTGGAAGATGTTGATGCTGCTAGTCCATAGGCCACACTTTGAAGCAGAGAGACATAAGGTGGGTCCAATGGCCTCCACGTTCCTCCTAGTCTAATGATTTTGGGATTTCATAGCATATACAAAAGGATATGAAACAAACAGAATCTCTACATGCAATCAATTCTAATTTGTCTCCACTGTACATGGCAAATAGAAGTCACATTTTAATGATCACACACATCCAAAAACATAAATATTATTAGACATTCCTTCATTTTAGAAATACAATTCCATTTCCTGCCTTGATGGGGTTCAGGGAGGAAACCATCATTGGATTTTTCTAAAAGAATCATTGTTTTGACAAATGTTGGCAAGGAAGTGCTTTTTCTTTTGGGGACTATGAGCTCTCTGTTGTCTTAGTGAAAAACAAAAACTGCTGCTGATTCTACTGTCAAGCTAGTGACTTATTTGTGCTTTGACTGAGGAACCAATTTGCCCTTGGCAGATACTAAGCTTTATATATCTAGTTATGCCATCATAGCTGGGTGGCCTAGTGGCAAAACTGGGAACAATCTACTGTTTTCTTTTCTTTTCTTTTTTCTTTGATACAGGGTCTTGCTCTGTCGCCCAGTCTGGAGTGCAATGCCACGATCTTGGCTCACTGCAACCTCTGCCTCCTGGGTTCAAGCCATTCTCCTGCCTCAGTCTCCTGAGTAGCTGGGATTACAGGTGCATGCCACCACGCCCAGCTAATTTTTGTATTTTTAGTAGAGACAGGGTTTCACCATGTTGGCCAGGATGGTCTCGATCTCTTGACCTCGTGATCCACCCTCCTTGGCCTCCCAAAGTGCTGGGATTACAGGCGTAAGCCACCACACCTGGCCTACTGTTTTCTTGAGAATAACACAATCACTCTCTCATGACCAAGTGCTCTTCACTTTTTCTTTTCAGATAAATTCTTTTCTCATCATCTCTCAGAACTGATATCTCAATCCAGGAATAACTTTAGCAGCATCTAAAGAGTTTCTTTGCTCTCCCTTATTCAAATCAGCTATTGAATGGACTCCCCCAATACCCAGCACCATTTACTGAAACAGGAAAATGATTTCTTTTGCAAAGCAATTTCATGCTTTGTTATCCCCAACATGTCTCTAAAATACAAGGTAAAATGGCAGTACCAGAAAGTCCCTATTCATTCCTGAGGCTGAAAAGCAAAAATAAAATCTGAAAGGGGGCTCCAGAAGCCCATGGCATTGTCTGCTAGACATTCTCATGCTTTGAGGATCATTGTGTAGCATTATGAAGATATTTGCTTTAAAATCATGCCTCCTGCAAGGAAAATTGTAGCCTCAAACACTGTGTCATTATGTAAATAGGTGTTAATGAATCGATTGTATAAAGTATACTGTGATTGAGAGTTGAGCTGTTTTTATGAGAAGATCACAGAAAGACAGCTGGATTTTCTTCTGCTTTTTTTGGGATCCTTATATTCATTCTGTTTCACAGATTTCACGGATACGACTTCTACCAGAAGGCAAGTTGTGCAGAATTCTAATCTTTTTTGTGCTTTATTTTCTTATTGCTAAACTGCTAAGTAAAGCCAGTCCCATATGTAAGTTTGAAAAGCTGCTTTAGGACTTAATTATTAACAGGTAACATCTCCTCTAGAAATACTGGTCCTCTAGAAAAACTGTGGTATCCACATTTGCCTTTTAAGATTAATATAACCCATCCTCTCCTATAAGAAATGGGATTTCGAGGCCCTGTCCTGGCTCTCTGTATCTGCAGTTGACTGGTTGAGTATCAGAGCTGCCCTTAGAGGGTGCCTAGGCTGGGAAGTCATTGATCAGCAAATTGCACCTTGGCAGTGGGATAGAAAGGAGAGGGGCATTTATTGTAGCAGGGGTTGTCTTTACCCATTAGTGTTGTAAATAGCAGGAGATAGAAGATTCCAGGATTTGTCAATCGGTCTAACGACATTTTCCCAGAAAGTCTTTATTGAGCACCTGCTGTGTTCCAAGTCATGATGGTTGGCTCTGGGTATACAGTGATGATGCAACATACTGAGCCCTGATCTCATGGAGGTAACGTAAATGAGCCATGTAATGCCTCTGGACTGGACTTGAAAAATGAAGCTAGTTTCCAACCTCACTGGGTTGCTATGATGGTGAAACACATGTTTGAAAATATAAAGTATTAAATATAAAGTTCCTGAGGTCAGTGTGATATCAGCCTCAGCAATGTCCTTAACCTTGAACTTTCTAACATCAGCTCTTTTTCCTATTACCTGCTTTCATGAAGTTTTTCTCACACGGCCCTCACTTCGCCCTTTGTCTTTTTGTGACGGTTGCATTTTCCTCTCCAAGGATTATCCCATTGTCCTGATTGTTGAACAATGCCAGCTTCTTATCTGCCTTGCAAAATATTTTTCAAAAGGAGGGGCCTCTTAAGAAATTTCTTGGGTATTTGATAGGAAATTAGAAAGAGAAAAGTGACTATTCACCAAAGACACTGAGACAAAAATGAAAAGTAACTTTCTGTATTATACATACAATAAAAATCAGAACTTAACACCCCAGAATACAGTTCTCATGAGACATCTCTATCATTTCCTAGAGTTAGAAATGAACAGAGAACAGTTTTGGAGTTGGGCAAGTAGCCAGCCATGTCGTCTGTGGATAGGAATGATGAGGGTCATGTTTGAGTGAGGGAGAGAGTGGAGAGGCAGTCTCTTGAGCATGCTGTTGGAGCAGCTGAGACTTGGAAACATGCAGGGAATGTTTCTGAGAATGCCTTTGCTATGCATGTTGGAGGAAGATCTCAGACTTGCATTTAAAAGACTCCTGGCCTGTCCCAGCCTCCCGGGGTATGTTTTTGTTTTTGTTTTTGTTTTTTGGGGTTTTTTTTGACTCATTGCACAAATTTATCTATGATCTGTTAATTGGGGGAGTTCCTCTTCTCTCCAATTCTAATGTCCAGCGTAATGTGTGTGCCCCTGCCTCTCCCTGCTCTGTGTCCCTGTCTCCGCAGCTCTTCTCTTCCACACCCAAGCCCTCCATTGCACTTAGATGATTTCATCACTAAAAGTGGGAAATCTGAGCAAACCTCAAATCTGAGCCCCTAAAGAAATGTTTTAGAGGATTTTGTTTTACACTTTGTATATTGCACAATTAACTCATCTCTTTTTTTTTTTTTTTTTTTTTTTTGAGACGGAGTTTCGCTCTTGTTGCCCAGGCTGGAGTGCAATGGCGCGATCTCGGCTCACCGCAACCTCCGCCTCCTGGGTTCAGGCAATTCTCCTGCCTCAACCTCCTGAGTAGCTGGGATTACAGGCACGTGCCACCATGCCCAGCTGATTTTTTGTATTTTTAGTAGAGACGGGGTTTCACCATGTTGACCAGGATGGTCTCGATCTCTTGACCTCGTGATCCACCCACCTTGGCCTCCCAAAGTGCTGGGATTACAGGCGTGAGCCACCGCGCCCGGCAATTAACTCATCTTAAAAAATGAGGAGCTACTGCTTTTCTTCATCCCTGACCTAAATAAATAAAGAGGCAACTTAATAGCATGGTATAGTGCAGTTTTGGCAAATACTTTCTGTAAAGGGCCAGATATTTTAAATTTTTACACTTAAACATTTTAACCTTTGTGGGCATGAGAAAAACGTGAGAAACATGAGAAAATGACCAGCTAGACCTAGGGACAGTCTACAGTACACAGTCTCTGGTGTAACTATTCAAGTTGGCCAGTGTATCGTGAGAGCAGCTATAGGCAATATGTAAATTGCCTTTTGCAATTTAGCAACTTCTGGTGGCCCCTAGACAGCTTCAGGATGGGGCTGGTTGCCAAAGGAACCAACCGTGTAATTAGAGAGGAAAGCTGTGTTCCAGTAAGCTTATGGACACTGAAATTTGAATTTAATGTAATTTTACGTGTCATGAGATATTATTCTTTTGATTTTTTTCCCCAAACGTTTAAAACTACAGCCCTTATAAAAGCAGGTGCTGGGATAGATTTGGCCCCCAGACCATTGTTTGTCGACTCCTGGTAGAGTGGAAGAAACTCAGAACAAGGAGTCAGAAGCTGTGCCTTCCAATTCTGGTTTTACTACTTTTTAGTTTTGACATAATCATTTCACTTCTAACCTCCATTTCCCTATCTGAAAAATGAATATGGAAAGATGGGAAACAGTAACTTGAGAGTAGAGAAAGCCGGCAGACACTACTCCAGTCAGGTGGTCATGGTCAGCATCATCAGGGCTAAGGTAGGTGGTCATGGTCAGCATCATCAGAGCTAAGGTAGGTGGTCATGGTCAGCATCATCAGGGCTAACGCAGATGGTCATGGTCAACATCATCAGAGCTAAGGCAGGTGGTCATGGTCAGCATCATCAGGGCTAACGCAGGTGGTCATGGTCAACATCATCAGAGTTAATGCAGATGGTCATGGCCAACATCATCAGAGCTAAAGCAGATGGTCATGGTCAACATCATCAGAGCTAAAGCAGGTGGTCATGGTCAGCATCATCAGGGCTAACTCAGTGGTCATGGAGCTAAGTTGTCATGATAGAATAAGAAATATTTGGTCTTTGTCCCTGGTTTCTGACACAGAACTTGTATAACCCTTGGAATGTCCTAAGTGACAGGCATAATAGGATTATTTTCTATTATTCATAACAAGCCCCTTCAGCCTTACCTGAGGTTCTGCTAATGAGATGATTTTTGGTAGGCCCATAGATAGCTTCACGATGGGGCTGGTTGCCAAAGGAACCAACCATGTTAATTAAAGAGTGGAACTTTCAGGGCCACTGGTATGATTTGGCTGTGTCCCCACCGAAATCTCATCTTGAATTGTAGTTCCTACAATTCCCACATGTTATGGGAAGAATCCAGTGTAAGGCAATTGAATCATGGGATGGGTCTTTCTCATGCTGTTCTCATGATAGTGAATAATTCCCATGAGATCCAATGGTTTTCTAAAGAGGAGTTCCCTGCACCAGCTGTTTCTTGCCTGCCACCATGTAAGATGTCCCTTGTTCTTCTGCCATGATTGTGAGGCCTCTCCAGCCATGTGGAACCATGAATCAATTATACCTCTTCCCTTCATAAATTACACAGTGTCAGGTATGTCTTTATTAGCAGCATAGAGCCACCCTTCCTTCAGGGAGGGGTAAAGGGGTCAAGATTGAGTTAATCACCAGTGGCCAATGATGGAATCAATCATACCTCTGTTATGGAGGCTCCATTAAAAAACACTGGAGGACAGTGTTCTGAGGGTTCCAGACTGATGAATGCATCCATGTACCAGGAGTGGGGTGCATCCCAACCCCGCAGGGATGGAAGCTTATGCACTCTGCCCCTTCTGGACCTCATCCCGTGTGCTTCTTCCTTGAGTGTTCATGTGTATCCTTTATAATAAACAAGTAAGAGTAGTATAGTCTTCTCCTTAGTTCTGTGAGCCCTGAGAAGGGAGTTTTAGGACTCCCCTGACCCCCAATTTATAGCCAGTCAGAAGTATAGAGGGCCCAGAACTTGCAACTGGTGTCTGAAATGGGGCAGTCTTGTGGGGCTCTATGTTCACTCTGGGTAATTAGTGTCAGAACTGAATTGAATTGAATTACAGGATACCTGGCTGCTGTCCAGAAAACTGGAGAATTAGTTGGCGTGAGGAAAAATCACCACATTTGGTGTTAGAAGTGTTGTGAGTGAAACAGTGGAGAGCCACATTGACAGCATGCACCCTTGATAGGCTTTGCTGAAAATGGCAGCCCAGCCCTGTGGTCATCCTCCAGAAAAGCCATTGACACCAGTTCAAACATGAGGAAAAGACCAGGTAGAACTAGGGACAGTATACAAAATACCTGATCGCTGTTCCTCAAAACTGACAGGCCATCAAAAACAAGGCAAGTATGAACTCCAGTCACAAAACAAGGAGACAGGATTAAACATGACATGGGATCCTGGATGTGGGATCTTGGGAGAGAAAAAGGACCTTAGGGAAAACCTGGTAACATCTGAATAAAGTGTGGCATTTAGTTAATCGTCACGTGTTGGTGTTGGTTCCTTCATTGTGACAAAACTCCCGTGGTAATGTAAGATGTTCACATTGCAGGGACTTAGGTTAGCAGAAGAGGTGAACTTTGCAACCTTGCTATCAATCTAAAACTGTTCTACAATAAAAGCTTTACAGTAAAAAACCACTAAGAAAAATCTCTAGGATTTGGCAGTTGATTAGGTAAGGAGGGCAAGGGAGAAGGAGAAATAAAGATTTTGTCAAAGTCTGGCCTGATTACCTTGCAAGTTAGCTATGCTAGTGGACAGAAGTAACTGACTGTAGGAGGCGTTCTGGCTTGCAATAGGAAGTATGAAGTTGTGGTGCTAGGGATGTATCCATGAATGCGATGTACTGTTTAACAGTTTAAAGTAATACAAATGCCCAGAAAGGGCTTTTGGGTTTTAGATGTTTTGTTTAAAATGACCTCTAGCCTCACAGCATTTGGCATTTAAATTCTAATTTAAGAAAGAAAGATGAACTGGATTAAAAATAAAATAGTGATTGAACTTTGTATAAATAGCTGGACTCCTCCTCATGTATCTATGTTTCTACGGGAGTAAATTTATCTTTATGTCGTTAATGCATTGCTGGAGCTTGCAGTAGCTAGCAGCCCCTCTTTATTTGCAGAAGGACTTAGAGTCACGTTGCCAAGTGAAACATGATGTAAGTGACTCAGCAGCAAGAGCCAGCCTTTTTTCTTTAGCTAGAAGTGCTAGATGTGTTGACCCAAATATACTGAAGAGCATGTTTTGTTTACTTCAGACAAGAAGTAAAAGCTTTGTTTGAGTCATTCCTTTTTCTATCTATCCTATTTATATTTTACAGCCAGCACTGCCTCAAAAATGTACACAGCCATTCATCAGAGGCCTGCAATGTCTGCCATGCCTTAACAATATATGACATGTGTGAAATTTATCAATGTAGATAAAACCACAGGCAAGACCTCACGCCTGCATAGGTCATGAACGGGTCTTCACCAAAGAAGAAATTCAGGTGGCAGTCCATGTGCAAACAAAATTAAACTTTGTGAGTAACAAGAGATATATAATTAAACTTGTGAAGATAGCAAAGAAATACAGGAGCCAGTGCTGGCAAGGGAATGAGGAAGAGTGCACTGGCAGGAATATAGAGCAACGTAATTTAGGGGGAGGGAAGCTTGAAATATATAGTCCAGATTTTAAAATGTATTTAACCTTTGTTTCAGTCACTACACTTCTAGAGACTATCCTAAGGGAACAGGCATATAAAGAGAGGTGAAAAGAATGATGATCTAAGCATTGTTTAAAATAGTAAAGCACTGTGATAACATCCAACAACAAGACAGACACTAGTTAGCTTCAGTGTTGTAGATGTAGCTATTGTAATAGAAAGACTTGCATTCAGTTTTTGGAAAAACTTCTTTCAAAATGCATTCGTATAGTCCAGTTTATACAAAAGGTGTGTGTGCATGCATGCTTCTAAAAGAACATATGTTACATTTTAACTGCTTTTAAACTGTAAATGAAAATAAAAATGTTTTCATTCTAAACCACAATGTGGACTCTCAGCGCTAAATTCTGAGTGACGTAAGCTGTCCTTCTCTCATAAATTACTATTATTTTTGTAGAGCCTAAAACATGTACCCATCACCACCCATATGCTCCCTCTCCAAAATAATCCTGACTTTCTTAAATAAAAATTATAGCTCATCCTAAATTATTGAGAAAGAATTTTCACTCAGTGTGAAGAACCTAGAGCTGTGTTATAGAGAAGCCAGCTAACAGTTATTGCTGCTTAGTTTTATTTTATGCTACGGTAGTTAACCAAAACAGTGCTTCATAAAAAACACTATACTTACAAATACAGGGTGAAAAAGAGGATTTCAGTGAGAAAGTGGGATTTTCTTCACTTTGATTTCATTAATTTACATCTTGCCTCTTTCCAAATGTATTTAAAGTACCTAGATCATGTGCTAAACATAAAAAAGGGCTCACACACATGAACTAACCCACTGCACCATCACACTGCCCCCAGGCTAGTATGATAAAAGGCAGGGATGATAAAAGGCAGAACATATTTCCAAAGACACTCAAGATCTCTGAACTAGAGACTTCACCTTTAACACATGAATGAAATGACTCAAAAATCATCTTTCTTCCAAAGTCAATTGAAAACCAGTGTGGCCATGTAGTTCAGATCAGCCCAGGGGCAGAGCTTGAGAAGAAGAGCTGACTGTAGCCAGCAGGGGCCCTAAGTAAATAAGGCTTCATGTAACCATATACAGCCTGACAAGAGTAGTAGAAGAAAGGAAAAGGGGTGACCAAGGGGAAAGCGTTTAGAGGGCATCTGCTCTTTGCCAAGCACTAAACTGAAATGCTTATTGTGTGCTGTCTCATGCAGTAAGCTGCAGGCATATTCTAATGTTCAGATAGGAGTTTGATCTAAATATTTCTAAATAAATCAGTCTTCTTCCTGATGATACCCTTACCAGCTGCTTGCCGTGGACCGCCATCTCCAGATCTGCCAGTCACCCAGCTAGCTGTTAATTATCCCAGATTTCCCCTCCTCCCACCACTCTTGAGTATCTCATCAGCCACTTCTTAAACTGCCTGCCGCAGCCACAGTGAGGAGAGCTTGGGATTATTTGAAGAGATCCACCAGATACCTTGGATTTCAGAGCCAGACTTGTGAGCAGGACTTCACTTTAGTCTTCCTCATTGGTATCTGCCTTTTTCCAGAAAGGATTTGAAGTACCAAAATCTTCCAACAGAATGTGCGCCGTGAGACGTTTTGTAAGAGAGAGAAATTTTACCAACTCTACGTAGAGGGGGCAGTATATACAAAAGCAAAACAAAGTGAACAAAGGAAAGAAAAGAAATGTCCCACTATGGTGGGAATGAGCAACAGGAGATGGGGAGAAAGACTGAGCACAGTTGCTCCTGGGAGTGGAGCTCCTTATGATGCGTTAGTGATTCAGTAGGTGACACCTATGAAGGGTGATCACAGCTTTGTGGAAAGAGGTTTGTCTCTGAGCTTTTCCCAGTGCCTGGTAGGCTTCTTCTGTATTAGGACAACTTCACACCAAGATTCCTTCCAGAACCTTGAGCCTACTTAATCCCATCCCCATTATTTCTGCCATGCTGAGCTACACATACGATGTCAACCTCTTTTATGCTAACATCCCCTTCTTGCTCTTCGCGCACCTCCGCCTTTCCATCCCTTAGTACTACTCCAGATCCTCCCCGCTTCTTCAAGCCATCGCTCCGCTACCACTACCTTTTCGCAAGATTCCAAACGGGTCTGAGGACTAAGTCTGGCCCTCTGCCATGTTTTGCTTAATCTACACATCCTGCCTTTATCACTGGCAAGAGCCAAGATTCTGCGGTCTCCTGTTTGCTGAAGTCTCCAGCACTCTGTGCTGTTTCCTACTCCCATTCCCTGTTGTTTCCTGGTCTTTCCTGTGTTCCATGTCTTGGTCTGGGTGGTAGTCAGCGAAGTCTGTTCAGTTAGTAAAAATTCACAGAACACTTATTTTGCAATTTTCTGTGAGCATGTTATATATCAGGTTAAAAAAATTTAGAAGTTAATGGGCTGGGTATGGTGGCTCAAACCTGTAATCCCAGCGCTTTGGGAGGCCGAGGTGGGTGGATCACCTGAGGTCAGGAGTTCAAGACCAGCCTGGCCAACATGGTGAAATCCCATCTGTTAAAAAAAAAAAAAAAATCCCTATTTCTCTAGATAAACCCTGCAGTGGACATCATTATTTTCCCCATTTTGTAAATGAAGATACGGGAACATGGAAAGGACACACAGTTTGTCTATGGTCATTCAATTGGTACATGACAGAACTGGGAGTCACACTTGGGTGGCCTGTGCTTTTTATTTTTGGAGATGGACTCTCACTCTGTTGCCCAGGCTGGGGTGCAATGGGATGATCTCAGCTCACTGCAACCTCTGCCTCCCAGGTTTAAGTGATTCTCCTGCCTCAGCCTCCCAAGTAGCTGGGATTACAGGCGTGCGCCACCTCACCTAGCCAATTTTTTACATTTTTAGAAGAGGCAGGGTTTCACCATGTTGGTCAGGCTGGTCTTGAACTCCAAACCTCAAGTGATCCACCCGTCTCAGCCTCCCAAAGTGTTGGGATTACAGGCGTGAGCCACCGCACCCAGCCTTGGCCTGTGCTCTTGACCATGTGTCTTCCTTCTTGTCAAGAGAGTTGGTCCAACCATGAAAGACTCTAATTCTACTCTTGGCTTCTCTTTTCCACTTCAATATCCAAACCATGAGTTTCAGAGATTCATTTACATTGTTGTTTTAAGTGCTATGGTAGATTAAAGGTGGCCATGAATTATTTGCAACTCCTTTCATTGATATGTAGGATCTTATTATCCTCCCCTTGACTTTGGGCTGATCTTAACAATTCGCTTCACTGGTAGAATGCAGTAGAGATGACACTGCTTGACTTATGAGGTAGACTGTAAGAAGCTTTGTAGCATCTGCCTTGGTTCCTTTGAACACTGACTCTTAGAATTGCCAAGCTGTGGGAAGCCATAGAGAGGCCCACATGCAAAGGAAATATGGACACTGGCTGACAGCCCAGCTTGGCTCCCAGCCTACAGCCAGCACCAACTTGCCAACCATGTAAAGGAGTCATCTTGGAATCGGATCCTCCAGCCTCAATTGAATGACCCCAGTTAATGTCTCATAGAGCAGAGATGAGCTATTCCCGCTGAGCACTGCCCAAACTGAAGATTTCATGAGAAAAATAAATGACTAGTATCATCTTAGGACACTAAATTTTGGAATGGCATGTTATATAGCAGTGACCGGAACCCAGCTAATTTTGTTTAACCAATGTATATTAGCATCATATGTGAGATCAGAAAAAGTTTTGCTTTCTTTAATATTAATGTTATCATAGAAAGTTTCTTCTAGCAAAACCTTAACTCTTAATTCAAGCCATTCCTGAAAATCATTCCAGGAATTATCTTTGCTGCTAAAAATGCTTTTTTCTCTATCCTCACTAAAGAAAATACCAAAGACCACCTACGGTAGCTCAGAGTTACTGACTCAATTGAAACTTTCTAGGAAAAAACACATTTGCTGGTAGAATATCAACAAAGTCCCATCAAAATAATTGTAGGAAGTAAATCAATGTAAAATCAGTTTCTTTATAAATCTGTGAGTTGCTAGAAATTAGATATGAAAACTGTACAGTCTAAAGTTAGTTCTTCACATTAGCTAAATGAGCAGAACACTAACATCTCACATTTTTGGCTGGGACTCCCCACTTACTCAAGATATTTGCTTGGCAAATATTTTTCCAACTAAACTGCAGTTACACAGGGTGTGTTCTACCACACTGGACCAGCCAAGTTGGAGAGCGACTGATTACCAGGGTGATGTGTTTTCTGCAAAGGGAAGTCATAGGGTTATAGCTCCCATTTCTTCTGAGCCCTTTGCGGGATATACTCTCTGTGCTCTTTCTCCAGCAAGATAAGTGAGGTAGGGAGGAGATGCTTTTGAATGCATGCTGGTGGTTAAACGCCTGTAAGAAACTTGATAGGGATATGGGTGATATTGACATATGTGTTAGAAAATTGATAGTTCTGGCTGGGCACAGTGGGGTGCACGCCTGTAATCCCAGCACTTTGGGAGGCTGGGGCAGGCAGATCACAAGGTCAAGAGATCGAGACCATCCTGGCCAACATGGTGAAACCCTGTCTCTACTAAAAATACAAAAATTATCTGGATGTGGTGACACACACCTTTAGTCCCAGCTACTCAGGAGGCTGAGGCAGGGGAATTGCTTGAACCTGGGAGGCAGAGGTTGCGGTGAGCCGAAATCATGCCACTGTACTCCAGCCTGGTGACAGAGAGAGACTCTGTCTCAAAAAAAGAAAAAGAAAGTTGATAGTTCTATGAAAACTTAAAAAGTGATGGCCACTGCTCTAGTCTGAGTGTTTGTGTGCCTCTACCCCCAACCAATTCATACGTTGAAACATAATCCCCAATGCAATGGTATTAGGAGGTGGGACTTTTGGGAGGTGATTAGTTCAAGAGGGAAGAGCCTTGTGAGCAGGATTAGGCTGAGTGGAGCTTGTTTGCCCCTTCCATCACATGAGGATGCAACAAGAAGGCTCCATCTATGAGGAAGCAGGTCCTACCAGACACTGAACCTGCCAATGCCTTGACCTTGAACCTCCCGGCCTCTAGAATTGTGAGAAATAAATTTCTGTCATGTAGAAGCCACCGAATCCATGGCATTTTTTATAGCAACCTGATTGGAGTATGACAGCCACAGTATATAGTTAAGTGGGAAAAAAAAAAAAGAAGCAGGTTGACAAATGGGGAGTATTATATCACAATTTGTTTGATGTATAGATGGATGGATAAGAGATGGTGAGTTAGTGCCAGGCACGGTGGCTCATGCCTGTAATCCCAGCACTTTGCAAGGCCAAGACAGGTGTATCACCTGAGGTCAGAAGTTTGAGACCAGCCTGGACAACATGATGGAACCCTATCTCCACTAAAAACATAAAAAAGCGGCCGGGTGTGGTGGCTCACGCCTATAATCCTAGTACTTTGGGAGGCTGAGGCAGGCAGATCACGAGGTCAGGAGTTCAAGACCAGACTGACCAACATGGTGAAACCCTGTCTGTACTAAAAATATAAAAATTAGCTGGGCATGGTGGCACATGCCTGTAATCCCAGCTACTCGGGAGGCTGAGGCAGGAGAATCTCTTGAAACCAGGAGGTGGAGGTTGCAGTGAAATGGCACCACTGCACTCTAGCCTGGGTGACAAAGCGGGACTCAGTCTTAAAAAAAAAAAAAAAAAAAAAAAAAAAGTTAGCCAGATGTGGTGGTACACTCCTGTAATCTCAGGTACTCGGGAGGCTGAGGCAGGAGAATTGCTTGAACCTGGGAGGCGGAGGTTGCAGTGAGCTGAGTGCCACTGTACTCTAGCCTAAGCAACAGAGTGAGGCTTATCTCAAAAAGAAAAAAAAGAGATGGAGAGTTAGAAAGAGGTGTTTTTTAGCAAGGCCAAAGAATGTATTCTCTTAGATCGGGGGTGCTACTCAACTCTGCAGCTCTGGCTTGAAAGTAGCCACAGATTATATATAAAAAGATGGACATGGCCATGTGTCACTAAAACTTCATGGATGTTGAACATTGAGTTTCTTTCTTTTTTTTTTTTTTTTGATACTTTGAGAAAAAGCCTTGCTTTTTTGCCCGGCGCCAGGCAGGAGTACAGTGGTGCGATCTCAGCTCACTGCAACCTCCGCCTCCCGGGTTCAAGCAATTCTCTTGCCTCAGCCTCCCAAGTAGCTGGGACTACAGGCACACGCCACCACGTCCAGCTAATTTTTTTTGCATTTTAGTTGAGATGGGGTTTCACCATGTTGGCCAGGATGGTCTCAATCTCTTGACCTCGTGATCTGCCTGCCTCGGCCTCCCAAAGTGCTGGGATTACAGGCTTGAGCCACCGTGCCATGCTGAACATTGAGTTTCATATAATTTTCACATGTCACAAAATATTATTCCTATTTTCAGTCATTTAAACGTATAAAAATAATCAGTTTATACAGTTCATAGGCTGTATAAAAATAGGTGCAGACTGGCTTTGGCCACAGGCCATAGTCTCCTGACACCTGTTGTCATTTGGGTTGTGGGGAATTTGGGGAGAGGAAGTGGCTTGCTTTCACCCTCTACTGTCTAAGCTTTTGTACTTTTGGAACTTTTTAGAACAACTATTGTTTTTTGAGATAAGGTCTTGCTCTGTTGCCCAGGCTAGAGTGCAGTGGCATGATTGCAGCTCACTTCAGCCTCAAATTCCTGGGTTCAAGTGATCATCCCACTTTAGCCTCCCAAGTAGCTGGGATTACAGGCATGCACCACCACACCTGGCTAATTTTTTTTTTAATTGTTATCTTTTATAGAAATGATGTTTCCCTATGTTGCCCAGGCTGGTCTTGAACTCCTGGGCTCAAGTGATCCTTCTGCCTCCGCCTCACAAAGTCTTAGGATTATAGATGTGAGTCATAGCATCATGACCATGACCCTTAAAATTAAAAAAAAAAAGACATTTCCATGTTAGAGCAAAGGAAGAGGAGAAAGTCTCTGTGTGGGCCCCTGTTAGGTTTCAGCAAGAAAAGGACACATGGTAGAACCTTAGGGCTCTTGTTTGAA